AGGGCAGCTTCGATTGCCGGGAACCAGGCTCAGTTCAGGGCCCGGGGCTCACAGGACCCGGGAGAAGGCCAGCGGGGCCCTCAGTGAGGGGCTCTGCACCTCGGTGCGGAAGGGTGAAGCGGAACGCCCCGCCGAGGCCCGGCGAGCACCCCCCCGGGAGGGCTGCCCCGCGAGTGTGACATCACTCGTCCTTGGGAGACGCGCCGGGCACCCCTGCTGTCCCCGGCCGCCGTCCTCGGCTGCTGGCCCGCAGCCTGGCCCCCAGGGAGCTCGGCTCAGAGAGGGCGCTGCTCTGGCTGGCACCCCTCCACCCTGGTCCCCCCTGTCAGGGAAGGGGGCCAGCCGCCCGGTACGGCCAGATTGTGTTCTGGGGCTCTGCGTCCCCCATCTGCTGGATGGGGGTACGGGCACCCCAAGCCCCACTACCGTGCAGCAAGCCAAGTGTGTTTTCATGCCCCAAGGGACCTCTCGCACGGGCCCCTCGGACTCGGGGGCCTCCCTGCCGCAGGCTGGTGGCGGTCAGGCAGTGGGAGTCACCGCTGGCCGTGCCACAGAGGCTGGGGGCTGCAGGGGGGTGGGGGGAGGGGCCCAGTGGCCACCAGGCGGCTGTGCAGCAGCCAGGTCCCTGCAGTGGGCCGGGGATGGGCACCTCTGCCTCGTGGGCCACCCAGCGCTGGCCAGGCCGTCAGCAGCACGCGTCCCTGCCCGCGTGTGGACGGTTCTCATGGGTACCCTGGGCCGGGCACACACGTTGATCGCCAGCACCCACTGGGGGTTTCACTGAGTCCCGGGTGGGAGGACCAGAGGCAGGAGAGCGGCCCAGGCCGCCCACCTGGGCTCCTGGCCGGCGCAGGTGCAGACAGGGTGGGGCTGGCTGTGGGCTGCGTCCCCCAGGCCGCAGCTCATTCAGGGGCACAGAGCCTGGCGGGCCCCAGGGGAGGCCCTGGCCCGTGCCCAGCCAGGGGCACTAGGTGAAGGAGGAGCTCGAACCCCTGGCAGGCTCCCTCTGCCTTCGGGGGGGAGAGAGGGGGTGGGAGGGGGAGCTGGCCGGAGCCCTGGGCCAGACCCGAGGCAGAGGCCAGGGCCAGGGCCTGGGCGTGCGGGGAGGGGCGTCTGCAGCGCGGGGTGGCGGGGAGCAGTCCTGACATGGAGCGCGTCCCTGGGAGCAGCAGCCAGAGTGGGTGGTCAGTGGGTGGACAGCCAACCACAGTGGCGGCACCCCCAGGAGGACCATAGTCCCGAGACCCTGGCGCACCCCCTCTGAGCCACAAAATTAATGTGACCACCTGGGCAAGGTGGGTGGCCTGAGCCGGTGGGGAGCCGCTGGGGAGGCTGCTGGGTGTTGCTGCGCTCGCCTCTGGCTGGACAGTCCCCAGGGGCCCTGCCCTGGGATCCACACTGGGTCCTGCTCTTAGGGCCTCGGGCTGCCCCCTCCCCCGGCCCTTCCCAGATAGGCCTGGGGTGCAGGGAGGGGGGCGCCCCCTTCCCCGCCCTTCCCGGAGAGGCCTGGGGTGCAGGGAGGGGCCGCAGCCTCCCTGGCTGGCTCCACTCAGCAGACCGTCCCCTCTGGCGCTGCTGGCTCCCCACTCCCTGCACGTGTGGGTCACCTGGCAGTGGGGTCCCCACCTATGTCTGCGAATTCAGTCTGGGGACTTTCCCCTCGACCCCCTGGGGGGCACGCCGGGTCTGGAGTTTGTCTGCCCCCCACACCCTCCTGGGAAGCCAGGGCCCAGGCTCTCCCCTGGACGGAGGCCCCAGTCTGTCCTGGCCGTGCTGGGCGCCCCTCCCGCCTGCCCAGGGCCTTGGGGGGCCGTGCAGGACGGGCGGGACCCTGCTGTGCCCTGACCACGCCCTGGTGGCTCCAGGGCCCCCTCTCCCGCCCGCCTGCCCCTGCAGCCCTGACCTTGGGCGCGGGCCCTGCGGGGGACTTGCCTGGGCCTCGGGCTAGCTGCCCCTTCCTGTGTGAGGGCCTGTGAGCCCAGGGGCCTGAGCAGGGAGGGGGAGCCTGAGCGCCGGGTCGGGGTGTGGCGGGGCGCGGTGGGCCAGGGTAGGCCGGTGGCAGCCTGAGCTGCGCGGCCGGCGGGTGCTCGGCCTGGGCGCGCCCCCGTGAACGCCCGCAGCTTGCTTGTCAGCCCAGGCTGGAGCTGCGGCCCTGCCCTGCTGGTGCTCCGAGGGTCCGAGGGTCCCCGGCTCCTGCCAGCTCACCCCGGCTCCACCTCTCTCTCCCTCCCTCCCCATCTTGTGTTCGGCCCTCGGGGGCGCCTCGTGGGGCGCCTCGGCAGTGGGGTGGCACCGACCCTGCTGGCTGCGCCAGGGCCCGCGCACTCCCGGGGGCACACAAGGCGCGTGCTGGCTGCTGCCTGCTCCCTGTGGGCCGGGTCTGGCCCCTCGGGGGCTTGGGGGTGCCACGGAGCGTGTGGGCCTGCACAGCCAGGCCCTGGGAGCGGGCAGGTCTGCTCTGGGTCTCTGCAGACAGGGACGTGCCGAGGCTGGCTTGGGGGCGGCTGGCCTCGGACAGGTCCGTTTGTGGGGGGACTGAGCACTAGTCACGGGCTCGGTGCCCGGGGCCGGAGGAGGGCCTGGCGGTGCCCTGGCGGGAGGACGCCTCCACTGGCCGTCAGGGGCGGGGTGGGGGCTGTAGGTCCGGGGTCACGGGTCTGCATGGGCCCCCGGAGGGGACGCCAGGACGGGGGTGCCGGGCGCCTGGGAGTTAGGGCTGCTCAGTGCGGCGGCGCCTTTGACAGCAGGTTTGTCCTGGTGAAGCTCAGGCCGCATCAGAGAAGGGTCCTGGGCCCGGCCAGGGCGGGACCCCCGGGGCGCAGGAGACCCCTCCCGTCTCCCGCTGCCCCCTCCGCAGTGTGTTTCCGTAGATCGGCCTGTTCTGCTCCCCAGCCTGCCTCTGCGGAATCCTCCCACCCCCGCACCTCTGCCCTGTACCCCAGTTCTTGTGCGCATACATGAATAAATCTTTGAAAAAAGAAGTGAACGGTCCTGTGGCGTTCTGCACATTCAGGGTGCCGGCAGGCCCCCCACCGAGTCATTTCAGAACGTCCCCACACCCCAGGGGAGCCCCGTCCCCTTGGGTGCCCACGGCGCC